ACATTTATTTATTTTTGAGAGACAGAGACAGAGCCTGAGTAGGGGAGGGGCAGAAAGAGGGAGACACAGAATCTGAAGCAGGCTCCAGGCTCTGAGCTGGCAGCACAGAGCCTGCCACGGGGCTCAAATTCACAAACTGTGAGATCATGACCTGAGCTGATGTCAGATGCCTAACCGATTGAGCCACCCAGGCACCCCTCACAGGTATTTTTAAAGGAATGAAACCTAATCTGCAGGATTGAGTCCTGGGCATGTTTTGCTTTGTACTTATTTATATTCTCCAGCAAATGATTCAAATGCTCATCAATATTTGAGTCTCTCTACTTAAATGTTTTTAATGACTTCTCTTTAGATTTAGAATCAAATATAAATACCTGAGCAGAGATAATAAGACTTCTGCTATCAAAACTCCTCTCTCATTTGGCTGTTCATGCCACAAGCCTCTTTTCAGCTCACAAAAGGTACTACCACTGTCCCCATTAAATAGGACCATTCACAGGTTGTTCCCAACTGCATGGTTGCCTTCCCTTCATCATCAGGTCTCAATCAACAATCACTTCAGAAAAGCTATTCCTGCCGATCCTGTCTAAAACTATGCACTTTACACTCTATCCCAGCAAAGCGTTGCTCTTCTTTTTCCCAATTTTGGAATATTTATTAATTTTCTCATTTGTTATTCCATTAGTTTCTTACCCCTAAGCTTCCTTAGCGGCAGAAGTAATCTCTAAGTTCATTTACCATTAAATAACAAACCCCATTCAAGAAACAAAACAGATGAACATATGGGAAGGGAGAAAAAAAGAGGAGAGGGAAACAAACCACGAGAGACTCTTAACGACAGAGAACAAACTGAGGGGTGATGGAGGGAGCTGGGTGGGGGAAGGACTGGATGGGTGATAGGTATTAAAGAGGGTACTTGTTATGATGAGAACTGGGTGTAGTATGCAAGTGATGAATCACACTGAATTCTACTTCCAAAACCAATATTGCACTGTATGTTAACTAAAATTTAAATAAAAAGTAAAAGATATATAAATAAATAACCCCAAATACACAATAAATGTTACTCATTTAATTCCCATAACTACATAATCACTAACAGATATGTGTATCTGTTTCTAATCTTTTATTTATGTATTATCTTTTTGATGTTTATTTATTTTGGTAGAGGGAAAGGGTGTGAGCAAGGGAGGGGCAGAGAGAGAGGGAAACAGAGAGAATCCCAAGCAGGCTCTGCACTGACAGATGCAGGGCTTGAACCCACGAACTATAAGATGATGACCTGAGCAGAAATCAAGAGTCGGACACTTAACCTACTAAGCCACACAGGCGCCCCTCTAATCTTTTAAAATGTACTACAATAGGGGTGCCTGGCTGGCTCAGTTGGTGGAGCATGTGACTCTTGATCTCAGAGTTGTGAATTTGAGACCCATGTCGGGAATAGAGTTTACTTAAAAAAAAAAAGTACAATGATTTACTTATCTCTGCTAGAGTTTATACTATTATCAATGCTACATTTGCTCAAATTTTTGTTTCTTCATACCTCTTCTAGGTGCTCCTTCCCATTCCTACATACCCAAAGCAATTTTTGTACTTCCTAGAAAACTATCTCAAATATTAAAAAAAAAATTTTTTTTTTAATGTTTATTTATTTCTGAGACAGAGAGAGACAGAGCACAAGTGGGGGAGGGGCAGAGAGAGAGGGAGACACAGAATCTGAAGCAGGCTCCAGGCTCTGAGTTGTCAGCACAGAGCACGATGAGGGGCTCAAACTCACAAACCGTGAGACCTGAGCTGAAGTCGGGGTCAGGGCTCAACCGACTGAGCCACCCAGGCGCCCCTCAAATATTTTTTAATCACACTAACAGTGAAAGGCTTATGAATTCCTGAACAAAAAGGCATGGGCAGATATTGAGTATAGCAGAATGACTGTCAAATATGGAATGGTACCTGGGATCACCTGAGTGCAAAAGAGTAAAAAATAAAGGCTATGTTGGATAAAGGTCCAAAGATAGTGATCCAGATGGGGGACTTGCATGAGAAAATCTAAATGTTGAATGAAGTAAGCAAAGATATGGGGAGATGTGGGATAGGAGAGATAAGAAACTTTTTTTCTGTGACTACAGTACAAATCTATAAAACTGCTGGAATGGCTCAAACAAAAGTCTGATCACTGTGAACCAAAATAAGAAATAATACAATCATAAAACCAAAAGTCATCTTCACACTTCAAGTTAAAAAAAAAAAAACAAAACCCTTTACCAAGTAAAGAAAATTGTAGACTATCTAGAAAATAATATTGAAACTACTAGATGACCAAGAATCTACAAAATATACTATAGATCTTAGAAGAATTCATCAATGCATTTAAATTCTTAGAATAAAGAAAAGAAATATGAGTATCCCAGTCAAAAGTTAGAAAAAGAACAAAAAAGTATACGAAGGAACTCAGAGGAGGAAATACAATAAAAGCAAAATTTCATTGATTAGATAACAGAAAAAAAAATGAAATTAACACAAATTAAAAACCTAGATTGTTTGAAAAAAGTCAGTGAAACCTATTAACCATTTGCTAAAAAAATAAAAATAATGAAGCCACTCAAACAAAGTAAAAAATAGCAACTAGGTATTCAGGAACAACTCACCATGGGTGTCTCTCATTTTTGCACATCGTGCAAGAAGTATTAACTGCCTTTGTTCTGGACTATCTTTTAAAGAATGTTTGTATAACCAACAACCTTGGAAGGTAGGGATAGTATTTCTCTCTGGATCAGTAGGCAGATTTGCTAACTGTTCAATATAATAAAGGTAGTGTCTCCCTCAGAGCAAAGGTCACTCGTGCTTATTGCCCATTATTAAAGATTTGGGTTCTCTACCTTCAGGGTTCTTCTCTTATTATGCAGCTCACTGCATGTTCAAGTATCCTTCTAGACCCATGCACATCACTCCCATGGGGTTTGTGGGCAAAATAGGAATGATGCAAATATGTTGATGTTCATGCCATTTGTTGTGCTGTTTTATTGTTGAGCAATAAAATCCTCATCTTTGGTTTAGGACTCTTGTATCTTTTGCCAGCATCCATGACACTGCAGCAGGCTAACTTGTTAGCTTGCATGTAGGGTAAAATTGCACATGCTTCACAGTTCTTGACACTAACAAATAATTAACAAAACAGAATATTTTGAAAATCATAAGGAACTACCATGCCAATAAAGGGTAATTTTCTTTTAAAATTTTTTTAAGTTTTTATTTATTTATTTGAGAGAGAGAGAGAGACAGCATGAACAGGGGAGGAGCAGAGAGAGGGAGAGAAAGAATATCAAGCAGGCTCTGCCCTGTCAGTGCAGAGCTTGACACGGGGCTCGAACCCACAAACTGCGAGATCATGACCTGAACCAAAATCAAGAGCTCAACACTCAACCAACTGAGTCACTCAGGT